ATAAACCTACATCCACAATGAATCTCTTTTGTGACAACAAGACTGCTATAGTCATTGCACAGAATCCAATTCAGCATGATCATACTAAACATGTTGAGGTGGATCAACACTTCATCAAACAGAAGCTTGAGGCTAAAGTGTTTCAATTTCCTTTTGTGAAATCCGGGGATCAATTGGCGAATATTTTGATAAAGGCAATTTCCAGTAAAACATTCCACAATTCACCGGATCAGTTGGGCATTAGCGACATCTATGCACCAACGTGAGGGGGAGTGTTGGCGTGACTTGTGAATATTGACTTACTTTCCTTACACACCAAGAATTCCTATTATAATTGTAATTGATTTACTTTAATTCATGATTTCCTACTGCAAATAGATTTAGGAATTTATTATTTACTTGCCCATTCAGGTTTCGTTATATTATAAATATGACCTCCTACAAGAAAAAGAATACACAGAAAATTCCCACAAACAAATATTCTCTCATTGTTTTCATATTTTAGCAAATGTGTTGTCCGACTTGGAGTGTGCATTAAAGCTCCATCTAGCACTAAATCTTAGAGAACTTAGTTCTGAGGACAGCATAGCCAATGCTTCATCAGCATTTGTATATGTTGAGCGTCTTCCTTCACTTAGCTCCATGGTTAATGCAGACGATACAGTTGTCTCTGTGGATGGATTGGTGGGCACAACACCAAGTCAAGTTTTCTCCCAATTGAAGTTTGGCGATTCCTGATAAGGATAAGCTTGTGTGTTCTGTGAAGTATTAATATCATCTTTGATGCCTCTTTCTGGTCCTTCTGTTTAGCTTTTCCGATACTGGGGTCGCAGATTCTTCTGATTCTTTTGCTATGTTTTTGTTGGTTAGTTTTTTCAGCCATTGTGGATTAATTGTCAAAGAAAGAAGAGCCAATTTGGGTGTTATGAGTGTTTTTGTTCTTCTTCCCCATCTTTGCTTCAATTTTTTTATTTGAAATCCTAAATTTGAATGATTGAGGAACCCAGATTTAAAATCCTAGCTTTTCCTATTCTTATCTACCTTTGATTCAACACACCATCGAGTTATCAACTAACCAGTATTAATTTCTCACCACACCAACAAAAAAAAAAACGTTTGTATATAAAAGAGAAGGAAAATCAATGGTAGAAATAAAAAAAGTTAAAACGCCCAAATGTTTGTGAAAAAAATTGAAGTTTTCCCAATATCTTAGTTCTTTGACATTATGAAAAAACTAACCAGCAAATACAGAACAAAAAAATCAAGATAGTGGGAAAACTTAGTCTGCTGTTGTGTGGAAATTCTCTTTAATCTTGTTGTTAATAGACAATTGAGTGGATGACTATTTGTCACTATTGGATTTGAAGAAAATTTGGGCAAAGCTTGGGTATAAAGTAGATATAACCCAGAAGGTGACGAGCCTAAAATTGATCTATAAGGTGCATGCAGAAGATGTTGTTAAGGAGGTCTTAGATGATATGTGCATTGCAAATTTAGTTGGTACCATTCCATCAAATAGAGTTGTTGTGCTGTATTTTCATGATCCAACTGACCAAAAGAGGTATGCAAATGTAGCTGAAGAGTATGCAAATGTAGCTGAAGAGGTATGGCCATCGTTGGATTCTAAGGAGTATGCAAATGTAGCTCAAGAATATGCAAGGCATATAAATGGTAATGAAGAGGAACATGTGGAAGTTGAATCTGATGGTAGTGAAGCTGAAAATGAAGAAAAATAGAAGGATGAAGAGTTAAAGGATAGTGATTATGAATACACTGATGATGAGATGCCAAACATTGATCCTGGAATGATAGCAAAAATGGGAGCAAATGTGGGTGAAGAGGAACCAAACATTGATCCTGAAATGGGGCCTCCTAATAAAGGTACATGGGCTATCTCATATGATGGTGAAGACACTACTGCACTCCTTTCTGAAGGTGAAACTTCTGAGGATGAACAAGGAAGTGGAAAAAAGTCAAAGAAGAGAAAGAAGAGAAAATTACCAAACTTTAAACAATTTAGAAGAGAGACTGACCTCAGAAATCCTCAGTTTATGTTAGGAATGCAGTTTGCCAACAGAGAAGAAGTGAAGGAAACTATTAAGGAGTATGCAATTGTCGAAGGCAAACCTATAAAGTTTGTGAAGAATGATAATTTTAGGGTCAGAGCCAAGTGTGTTGGGCACAAGTATTGCCCCTTTGTTGTGTTGGCTTCAAAGATAGTTAGGAATCAACCCACTTTTGCAATTAAGACTCTTTCTTTAGAACATGAGTGCACTAGAGTTGATAGGTTGGGTTATTGCAATGCAAGATGGTTATCCATTATATTTGCATACAAAATTAGGAAAAATCCCAACTGGGATGTAGCAGCAATGCGGGGAGAAGTGCAAGAACAATATGCTATGAATGTAAGCAAACATCAAATATGGAGAGCCAAGAGGTTGTCAAGAGTGGTCATTGAAGGTAGCATAGAGCAATATGCAAGGTTATGGGATTATGCAGAACAGTTGAAAGCTTCTAACAAGGGTAGCACAGTTGTAATTAAGAATGACATGGTTGGGGAGGAACCTGTTTTTCAGAGAATTTATGTGTGCTTGCCAGGTTGTAAGAAATGGTTTTTGGATGGATGTAGGCCTGTGATTGGGGCAGATGGGTGCCATTTGAAAGGACCATACACATGACAAATATTAACAGTTGTTGGGGTTGATGGGAACAATGGAATGCTCCTCATTGCCTATGTTATAGTTGAAGCTGAAAATAAGAGTTCTTGAATGTGATTTCTTGAGTTGTTGATATCAGATTTAAAAATAGAGAATGGGGCTGCTTGGGTGGTCATAAGTGACAAGAAAAAGGGTCTACTTTCAGCCATTGAAACAATTGTGCCTACAGCTGAGCATAGAATGTGTGTTAGACACCTTTATAGCAACTTCAGAGGGCAACATTCTGGGCTCCTTTTAAAGAATATATTGTGGGCAACATCAACGGCCACCACGATTCCATGGTATGAAGCAGAGATAGAGAAGATGAAGGTGCAAGATAATGAAGCTTACGAGTGGCTCTTAAAATGGCCACCAAAGAATTAGAGCATATCTCATTTCGATGAACACTGCAGGTGTGACATCTTATTGAACAATCTCCGTGAGACATTCAACTTTTGCATACTAGACACAAGAGATAAGGCCATCTTAACATGCCTTGAAAGAATTAGAACTTATGTGATGTTGAGGATGTGTTAAAGAAGAACTGTTGGTAGGGTTTGGATACATCCTATTGGGCCTAGGATAGTGAAGATCATTGGGAATAACAAGAAGGGAACATATCAATGTATTCCCAGGCTAGCAGCTAAGAAGAAATACCAAGTGTCTCATATGTATGGGGGTGAGTTTGTTGTGGATCTAAGACCAAATATTTGCTCTTGCAGAAGATTGGATTTGTGTGTGATCCCATGCTCATATGAAATTTCTTGCATTTTTCGCAGACAAGAAAATGTGTATGACTATGCACATGAGTGTTATAGCCAAACTACTTACCTCTCCTTATATGATCCAATGGTCCACCTTATGCCATACATGGATCAATGGAAGATGACAAATTTGTCTCTAATTAGACCTCTTTCTTACAATACCCATCTTGGAAGACCCAAGAAATCAAGAAATAAAGAGGCTTCTGAGGTTGAAGTACATGCTCCAGTCCTTCCAAATCCTAGACACCTAATTACATTCCACCCTTGCGAAATTGAGAAGGGTTTTTATCAAGATCGGGTGTTCTATTTGTGGCCAAGAATGACACAATAAAAAAAGACACTTTAAACAAGGAGGTGCTACCAATTCTAGCAACCAAGGGGTAATTGAGGTAGTTGAGGTAGCTTTATGTATTAGGGTTACTATGCATTATGGAAGGGGTGTACATAGAGGTGCAATAAGGGGTGATGGTAGAGGAAAGAGCAAACAACCTAGCTCTTCATCAATAAGTGTGACATCTTATTGACTGTTTTATAAGTTCATGTTTTCAAATTATGTTCCTAAACTTTTGCTATATGTTGTTGAAGGTAGGAGATAAGAATGACAAAGGGAAAACACCAGTTGCTTCACAGCCTCCAAACAATGGAGATTCATCCTTTTCAACACCACTAAACATTGTGCAATCATCGTCTCAACCAATTTCAATCCAACGTAGAAGATTTAAATCTCCTACAAAAAGGATTAGACCACTAAAAACTGGCCAATCTTCACCTCAGCCAGTTTCAAGCCACTGTATCATATTTAAATCTCCTACAAAGAGGGCTAGACCTTGGAGACCATGATTATGTTCCTAAATGCAAACAAAATTTAGCCAAACATCATGATGCGTAATTGCTCGAGTTTTTGGTTAGGTTGGAGTTTTTGATGTGTAATTGCTTGAGTTTTTGGTTAGGTGAGAATTTGAAAGTAATGTTTTGAACAATTTTGTGTTTTGCTGTTTAGGTTTGATGTTTAGGTTAGGTTTTGGAACCATCTTTTACTATCCAAGGCTAGACATTGGATATTGGTTGGAAATTTGTATTTTGAGGGCATATTTTGAGCATGAACTCTGATTGAAATTTGGTTATTTATTTGGAGTATGCAATTGGAACTCATGTAAACTTTGGATTCAAGTTATGCAATTGTCAAATTATCTCTTAAGTGATGTTATTATACACTTACACATTACAATGGCACAGATGTACCAAACTTTGGATTCAAGTTATGCAAATGGCACAAATGTACCCAACTTTAGATTCAAGTTATGCAATGACACAAATGTACCAAACTCATTACACATTTCACTATTTGATCATCAAATTCTTTGGAATTTTTTCAGACAAATTTAGGATCTTAATCATCATCATTGCAACCATGACACCAAGAACCCATGCCACAAATAGACCCACCCACATTAGTTTCCCTCTATGTCGATACACCATAATTTTCTCATCCCTCTTCATTTTCTGCCTTCCCAGTCTTCCAACTGTTGCTTTCAATTCCTTGTTTTCTTGCTCAATTGCTTTGAGCTTATCTTTCAGTCCTTCATTAACTTCTTCTATTTGATTCAGTTTCTGCTCCATACCTCTTATTCTTCTTAGCAACCCAGGCAGAACTTCCTTTCCTAATGGGCATATCTCTTTGTCCACTCACTCCCAATGATGAGCTTTGCCTCTGTTTTTCTGAAGAATTTTCCATATCCAGGGTTAGATCTAAAATCCATGGACCAAAAAATACAAAATTCTAGACAGAGTGACATACCTGATTATTCTCACAGGCCTCAATTTTCTCCCAGGATTCGAATCTGTCCATGAAGTCCATCTTTTAATAGCTCCCCCCCAATTACAAAGCTTCCATGTGTTATGGCTCCCCGAACTCTGCAACATCTCCTCTCCTTTCTCCTCTCCCTCTATAAATTTTTTTTTCGCTAGATGCCCTAATAAGCATCGAGGCCTTGAGGCTCTGGACCATCAACTATACCATTTCTTCTGATGCCACCAAGCTCTTAAGATTTTCTTTGCTTCAATTCCCATCTCTTCTCTTTATCAACCTCAAATTTGTTTTTAAGGGTTCATGTTTTTGTGGGTTCTGTGAATGAATTAATGATTGCCCTTTATAAGAGCATCCACAATGAGCTCTATAAACCACCTCCTTAGACAAATTTTAAGGAGGAATCATAAAAATACAACTCCAACCACGCTCTCTATCCACCTCCTAAAATAGGGAGTCCTCTAGGAGCTCCTAAATCTGAGGAAAGAGAAATAACTCCTAGTGGCTCCCTATAATTTAATACAAATTTATAAATAAACCCAATCCTAGACATGTATTTATAAAAAAAATCCAAGCACTATTTAAACATAAAAACACACCCAAAATCAACCCCAAAGTCAACTTTTTGGGTGTGTTTATAAATGAGTTTTGAGTGTGTGTAATGATGAGTTTTAGGTGTGTTTATATGTTTAAATAGTGCTTGAGTTTTTTTTTTAATTTCAACCCCCATTTTGGGTGTTTTAGTGAAACTCCCATAATTTAATGCTGCTTTATTTAATGAGTATTTCAAACCTTTATTTAATGCTAACTATTTTTTATTTTATTTTTTAATAGAGATGGACCAATCAAAAAAGAGTTATAACATTTATGACTCTCCAAATTAGGGAGTGTGGTTGGAGTTGAAATTTTTTAGAGAGCTCCTAAAATAGCTTTCTTATATTCTTAGCCAAATTTTAGCTAAGAAATAGAGAGCATCATTGTGGATGCTCTAAATAAGCTAAATTAAGCCCCAAGTTCTTACATTACCATTATGAATTAATGATGGCAAAATGGGATAAGCGGTTTATAGAGTTGGCTCCCTCAATTGCTGCACTCCTCCTACACCATTTTGCGTTTTTGGTTTATGGGTATTCATGGTGAAGGGAGGGAGGAGGAGGCGGTTGAAATGGGCCTGCAAATTTTCCCCTCCAATTGGTGGTTGGGTGGTTCTCTTGGAGGCGAGTATTCAACAAAATCAGAAAAACTAGAGAGAAGAGATGCAGCTAGGATGACCTCGTTAAAACCTTGTCTTGAAAACCTCTAATGGAGGAAAATTCATTCCAGAAAAACACTAAACATCTTCTTTCTTTTTAATTTGACTTTTGATTAAATAATTATTTATTTTAATTCTTTTTAATTGTTTATGGTTTAATATTTGAAAAAAGAAAGAATTTGTTATTACTTTTTTGTACACGACATTAAAAATGAGTTTCACTTTTGACACACCAACATTTAACAAATTAATTAACGGTTTAGTAATGGAAGGGGTAATTTGTAGGCTTTCCTCGAGTTAGAGTATGTACTTGTAAATGTTCCCAAAAGTGAGTATGAATTTGACAATGACCTTATAGTTTGGGGGGTCTTTTGTAGTTTATCCAATTAATTATTTGGTTGATTTATTTTTTAAAGAAAACTAATAATGAAAGATTTTTTATTTTTGTTTGAAAAAAAAAACATTGGATGCTGAATCATGTAAGGGTTTAAAATGTGTGTATAAATTTGTGGTTTTTTGTGTGTCTCTTGATTTTGACCCTATATTAGGGGTGGGCATTGATCTGGTCGAACCGATGAAATCGGTTTGGTTTGATTTTGATTAAGAAAAAGTTAAATGGTTTAAAAGTCGAACTGAACCGTATATGGTTTGATTTGGTTTTGAGCTTTTGTAAACCAGTCTAAACTAAATCGAATCGTTTATATGTATATTTATTTATTTTAATTATATTTTACATGTGTAATACTCTAATTAGGTAATAAGTATATATGTGAATGCCTCTCATTGCCCTTTTATCTGTTGCAAGTTTGCAATTTTATGCATTTCCGATATATTCTCTGCACTTGCTCCCTATTGTTTTTTTTTTTTTCGGGTTTAGTTAGCTGTAGAACATTTATATTGGCTTGATTGTTGTTCACAGTATGCAATAACAGAGAAGAAGGTTGAGCTACTGCGTGATGCACAAAATCAACTCAAATGTATACATGTTTTTGACTTAAAGAGCCAACGCAAATTAACCAATAAAACCCAAAAAAAGTATCAATAAAACAAGTTCTAGGCCTGCTTTGATTTAAGGTTCTTGCTTTTATATAGTTTGTTAATGGTGTTGGTCCTTTTTTCCGCCTTTCGTTCCTTTTCGTCGACCACGGGGGTCCGCTCTACTCTGAGGAAACGAAGGGGAAGTTGGTGAATCAACACCAATGCCCCGATCGGATGGTGTCTCTTGACTCAAACAAAATTGAAAGTTGAATCAGTTGCCAAAGTGGACGGGCCCGATCAAGGCCTTGTCAATCAACTTCTTTTAATACTGACTCTTGTCGTTGCGCAGGCGTGCTACTATTTGGTATATAACCAGCCTAATAGATCTGGTGTGGATGTGAATGACTGATGTTGATGGAGTTCGCGCCTCCTACTTGGACCTCTTACCAAGCCATTGTGCTCTAGGGGGGTACTGGCCTAGATAGATTCTTTTATGTGCTTCAGTTAAGAGGACTTCAATATTCTCTCCTTCGTGAATGTTGCCCTAACAAGTATGAGCAGTACCTGAACAGGCAATAGAACAGGACCAAGTTTGTGGTTAGTAAAAACCCTTGTCCGGGTTTTATTAACCTGCTTCAATATTTGCTCTCTTTCAGCCATATCAATAGTCAATTCGGGCCCATTAGTGCAATTTCGGGCCCAACTTAATTCCTTATTCTTTTCTTTTATTATTCCATTAGGGTCCCTATCCCCTTTCGGGCCCGAATGCTAGTTTTTCTAGACTGTTCGAGGGATAAAAGGGCGGGAATTCAATTTTATATATTAAAACAGTCTGTGATTCGTTCTTTAGACAACCAAGTGAATTTTATCAATATAGATTCTTCTGCAAATTACGTTAAATTTGACAAAAGATTCTTAAACTAATCCATCAATTATCCTTGAATCCGGGTTACAAAGTAAAGGAAATAAAACTGGAGATTTCTCGATCCAGCTCAAACGATTACATATATTGAAATAGAAAGATGTCTTAAAAGAAAAATCATACCACGGAGATGGCAGAGCTACGGGAGATTAGGGCAGGAGTTGTCAACTAGTTATCTAAAGAAGAAGTAGGCAGCTTGTTGTCTTGAGAGTTTTGAGTGTTTTGAGACGTTGCGTTTGGTTTTGGAGAGAGAGTCCCCTTCTTCTAAAATAGACCCTTATTATTTATAGGGGTGGAAGAACTCGTAATGATGGAAACTGCGACAAGACCTTTGGCTTGTGGTTTAAGGTCCGCTGCTAGTTCGTTGCTCTTAACCAGTTCGTAGAGGGAATGATGGAGGATTTCTGGCAAGAACCGTCAGTTTCCGTTGTGGAGGTTTCTTGATTTGACTCCTATGTACTTGAAAACCTAGCCGGCAACTTTGATCTCTTCTGATTTCGGAGGCTTCAGTACAGCTTGTTCTTGCTGGAAGTGAAGAAGGTCAAGTCGAATTAAATGTGATAATCCCCTTCGACCTCCCACGTGGGTTTAGAAAACACGCCTGCCAATCTCTTGAACTTGTAGCGCGAGATAAAGGTCTGATTCTCTTGACTTGGGCCTTTCTCTCCTTTTATTATGAGAGGCCCAATTGAGAGATGGACAATCTTAAGAAAGGACAAATGCTGGTGGGCCTGGTTTTACATTTTTTTTCTTAAAAAACTCTTTTTAAAAACCTTGACACCATTTTTGGCCCGCTTACCAAAATTGGGTACAAACAAATGGGATCCTATTTGATTTAAACAGTGTGATATTAATTGGATTTATTTTCTTTTTGCTATAATGGATTGATTTAAACTGTGTGATATGAAATTGTGCATCTATACTTTTTTTTTTTAATGGTTACAGATGTTTATTACTTTGCTTATCATCAGTTGATAAAAAACAATAGCTATTTATGTTTTAAAGATAGCTAAGGCATTGCAAATTTTTCTGGTTGCGGTGTGAAACAAGGCCAACTTTGGGATGCAGAGAGCAGCTCGGTATATTTGTCTGCTCAGATCACTTTGGAAAACTCGGGTGGACTACTAATAGGTTACAAAAGCTACAAGGATAATGGAGAGGCCATCCACCTAAAACAGGTCAGTTTCTTGACTCGCTGCTTACCAGTCGTTTTAATACATATGCAAGTCAATACACTCCCAACCCAACCTAGAAAATATTTCACTGTATATTGATGATATTTTTTTCATTTGTTTTGGTCATTTATGACCAAATAACTTGTGAACTAAATTAAAAATAGTTGTATTGATAACAAACAGAATTATAAGAAGTCTTTGATCACAACATCCTCAATAATTCTGAGAGGAGTCTCAAATCAAGAAATAATCTCATGTTACATACCTCAATTGATGACTCACAAGCCACTATTTGCATACCGTATTTAGGATTTGTGAAGAGAAGATGAGAGCGTAGTAGATTTTTTGGATTGAAAAAGAAGAGTAATCTGACAATAAGGTGTAAAGGAGTTTGTGTTTTTCTAAAACTTAATATGAAGATTGGTGGGGTCGAGGGGTTAAGTATTAAGTTAGATGACCTTTTTTGTCTTTTAAAACAATAATTAAACTTAAAAGCTTAATGATTTAAGTATTAGAACGAACAAAGAAAAATGTAGGATTTAAATAGAAAAATTCTAAATTTATTCATGTAGGCACCTAATAATGTAGTCAAGTGTTTTTGTGGACATTGATGTTTCTGCTGTCATCCAAACACAAAAAGACAGTAAAGACTAATCATCAAACTTGTTGCTGGTGGTGGAAGATATTTCAGTCCATCATACGGCTCTCTTTGACAAGAAAGAACTGAAACACCCAAAATGTCCTCTTTTGTATTGTATTTGCTTGCATAGTCTATAAAATATAAGGGAGAATTAAATAAATCTACCATACTTTTGCTCGGAATTTTCTAACTGAAGACTTGCACCACGGTTGGTGTTTCAACTTGAAACTTCAAAGTCCACCACTTTCCTATTCCAAGTCTTTGTTTTCCATAATTTCCATCGTCACTCAGCTCAGATGAGCTTTCCTTCGGCTACCAATTAGCAAAATCCAGCAACTCCATTAATTCTCATGGAAAGCCTTCATAACCATAAAATCCATATCCCTCTATTTTCTCTGTTTTTCTTGCTCCTCCACTTCTCATCCCTTCACTTTCTTTCTTTAGCCTATGCGCAACCTGATAAGTATTTCGTCAATTGTGGGTCTAAAGCTGATGTAAACCTCAATGACCGGGTGTTCACTGCAGACTCGAGTTCTGGTTTTTTGTGCTCAGACTCGGAGAAAAGCAGGGCCATTGAAAGCACCAACCAGGCGCGAAATCTGTACCAAACAGCAAGAATTTTCTGCAACCAATCCCACTATGAGTTCACGATCGCTGAAAACGGTACTTATATTGTCCGTCTGCATTTCTTGGCTTTCTCCTCCTTCTCAGTTAATCTCTCATCAGCTCTTTTTGATGTTTCGGCTTTTCATACTGTTTCAAATTTTGAGTTCAAACTGTTGAACAATTTCACCGCCAAGAACAGTAGCAACTCTGCTTTGATAGAGGAGTTCTTTCTTGCCATTGGTCCTGGCTCATTGAAATTATATTTTACACCTCAAGGATCATCTTTTGCATTTGTAAATGCCATTGAAGTCTTCCTTGCACCTTTGGAATTCAGCCCTCAGAATTACAGCAGTAGTTTCCCTTTAGTTCTACGTAAAACTTACAGGGTGAATGTTGGAGACCAGGAAATCACACCAGATGATGACAAAATATGGAGAAAGTGGGAACAAGATGATAGTTACCTGTCTGATCTAAACCCTGCCAAGGAATTCCGCTCCTCGAAGGAGCCTGATTATGAGGGGGGAGAGCATAATAACCTAGCCACTTATGGATTCGTTGGTGCTGATAATGATTCTATTGCTCCAGATTTAGTTTACCAGACTGCCACATTGATGACCGATATTCCTAAGGGGCTATCCAGTCCCTTCAACATAACCTGGTCTTTTAGTGTGAGGGCGGATGCTAGACACCTCGTCCGGGTTCATTTCTGTTTCATTTTCGGTTCGCCTGGTAGTATAGTATTTAACTTGTATTCAAATGGAAACTTCATTAAGAAGGTTGGTGGACCCGCTTTCGGCCTGTACTGGCCTTTCTACCATGATTTTGTATTGAGTTCTAATAGATCTGAATTCATTAACATCAGCATAGGCCCTAGCAAAGACACAACATATAACAATTCCTTTCTAAATGGACTGGAAATGTTGGAGATAATAGAGGGACAAGCTTTAAGTAACCCTCCAGCTTCAGTTTGTAATATGAAAGGGCGCAAGAAGATAAAGGTGGGTCTTGTGGTTGGTTCAGTTATTGGAGGCCTGTCACTTATCTGCATTCTGATTGTCGGAATCTTGTTCGGTTTGAAATACAGAAAGGCAAAGCATGTTGAAACTTCGGAATGGTCACCAATGCTTGCAGTTGGAGGAGGGAGTACCCACAGCAGGTTGACTGATGGAACTATTACTGGTTCCCCTATGAATTATCTAAATCTTGGGTTGAAGATATCTTTTGCTGAACTTCAGCAAGCAACAAACAACTTTGACACAAAATTGTTGATAGGTGAGGGTGGCTTTGGGAATGTCTACAGAGGAACTCTGTTGAATGGCAGAAATGTAGCTGTTAAGCGAGGTAAACGAGATGAGAAAGGGTCAGGCCAAGGCTTTCCAGAATTTCAAACAGAGATCATGGTTTTGTCCAAGATTCGCCACCGCCATCTTGTTTCCTTAATTGGGTACTGTGATGAAAGGTCTGAGATGATACTGGTCTACGAGTTCATGGAAAAAGGGAGCTTGAGAGATCATTTATAT